GTGTGTGTGTGTGTGTGTGTGTGTGTGTGTGTGTGTGTGTGTGTGTGTGTGTGTGTGTGTGTGTGTGTGTGTGTGTGTGTGTGTGTATTTGTGTGTGTGTGTACAGTGTCTATATGTGATGGATATAATAAGATACGCATATATGCCCGAATTATATGATTTCGATACAATTGGTGACAAAATCTCGAAAACGACAACGGAATGGACATCGTTGGCAAATGCAATATCCGTATTTTCGTTTCCCTTAAATGTCGCCTTATTTCCATTGCGGAAAATAGTGAAATGACAAAGATGATCGAATGTATTTGTTCAATTTTATTTCATTTCCTTCAAAATATACAATGAATTTTATTCGATTGGAAACAAAAATTTGTCAACTAAACCTTATTTATACGATTTTAAACAGACATATTCATTGACCTTATTCAATTTTCAGAAATGGATTAATGAATGGATACAATTCATTCATCAATTATCCTATTATTGACGTCATTATCTTATCCTGGTTCATTTTATTTTACAAAATTTACAATCATTTCATCATCGTTGCAACTTTTTAAAAAAAAAAAAAAAAAAAAATGTTACAAATAGAATGATCAAATTTTGCTTAATACTTCATTTTTTTCTATAAATTTTGTTTATTTATATTTAAAATCAAATTTCCAGCATATTTTACTCAAATATTTAATCACTGATATCATTTACAAATTATTTATTTCCTTTTTTTTGTTGAAAATTTTTAGTGAAAAAATAAATTGTAATATAATTATTTGAGTTTAATTAACTCGAAAAAATATGAAAAATTAAGAACGAGAATAATAAATGCTACTTATTTTATACATTTTTTTAATAATCAAGACTTTCTTTTTATTTCCATCAAAAAAATTTCCATTTTCAGATAATCTTTCTTAATCGACTTTTTAATGATATTTAATTTTTTTTTGACCAGGTGGACAAGTTAATTAATCAGATCTAAATAAAATCAACGATGAATCATCAATGCATTGGAAACTGATATAATTTTATTTACACCGCTTTCAAGAAGAATTAATTACTTGCAATGATTATTCAAACCTTTATAATCTTCAAAAATATATGTTCATATTCAGGAACTGTATAATACGATGATGAATTTTAAAATAGAAATTAGAATTACTCATCATCAAACAATATTTTAATACTAAATTATGTTGCTTTGAGTTCATAATGATTTAATTAAATTAAATTAAATCAAAATTTACTTTCATACATTGATTTCTAAGATGTATTGTTAATTTTGTCGATCACATAAGATTAAAAATTTTTATTTATTAATTAATCATCTATTTCTATGTGCTAATTAAAAATAGCTAATTGATTACATGACAAGAAACGTATGGATAAAAATTCGAAACAATATTTCATGGAATAAATTTCACACTTTAACCGTATTATTTTAGATAACCTTAATTATAATTAGCAACATCGTTAATTGATAAAATATGTAATGTTTGGATAGCAGTGATATTTTAAATGTTAACAAATTCGATCAAATAGAGTAAAAAAAAAAAGAAAAAAGATAAATGATAGAAGATATATAACAGTAATTTGATATCAAACAGCCAAGAATTTGAAATCTGAAGTAATAAAAGCAAAAATTATCAAAATTATAATTAAATTTATCATACATGATTGATAATTAACTTATTTTCATGTAGCCAAAGATAAAACTTAATAAGACATAATGCGACGAATAACCATACAAATGAAAATAATATACAACAATATGATACTTTGGTTACAATATAGGTCACATCACGTCACGTCACGGATTGTTGACGTTATCAGCTTAAATGATGCTATTACTAATTTACAATTACAATTCCTTAAACTATACAAGTTTTCTTTTTTTTTTTTTTTGTAATTAGTCATTCAAATAAGATGGGTTTTTCGTTTTAATTTTAGACTTAAATTTTAGAAATTTAAAAAAAAATGTAAAAAATTATATTGTATTAAAGAAAATTAATTCCAAAAAATCTATTCATTCATTTTCAATAAAATACACATGTAACATCAAATGTCGCATCATTCAATTATGCAAAAAATGTACATGAAATTAAAGAGAAGAAACAATTGAAACAGTTCATATGGTAAGATTAAAAATGAAAATATTTTATATATTAAATTGAAATTTGAAAATATCATTGCTGGAAATTAAATTAGTAAAACATAGCAAAATGAAATTTATATAAGAATATCACTTATAGAATAAATTCATTTTTTGCCGTATGATTTTGAGCGAAACAATTTATTGTAAAATTATAGTTTGGCATAATTAATAACTTATATACAATTGTATTATTAGTTAAAGGTTTACAAAATATTTTACCTAAATAAAATTCCAATTTTTATTCCAGTTGGAATTATTCCAGTTAAATTATACCAGTTAAATTATGCCAGTTAAATTTTTATTCAAGTTAAAATTATTTCAGTTAAAATTCCAGTTTTTTTTTAATTAAAAAATTTCTAAAAGCATTTCTAATGTATACATTGCATTAATAATGATTCAAATAATGCAATTTGTTATTTTAACATAACCAATACATTTAAATTTCAAATAGCAAGCAATATTAATGAGAACATTGTTTGAATTCTTGTAAACTTGATAAACCTGAGAGTATTTTATCGATTTCATTAATTCCTCCATTATCAATTTACCGGTTGATTTCTCAAAAAAAAAAAAAAAAGAAAAAAAAGTCAGTTACCGTGTTTTGGAATTTTTTTCTTCCCATCATTTAGTAATATTCTTATCAAACAAAAAAGTTATTATTTGTAGAAGTTTCGAATGATTGTTGGGAATTTTCGTCATTAATGAGATCATTGATGATAGCCTTACCGACGTGAAATTTGTTATTTGTAGAAATCCCAAATGATGATTGAGAACTTTTTCCATTAGTACGAGAATTCTCAGTCAGACTATCTTGGAAGGATGTAGCTGATGATGATATTGTGTTAAAAGTTAGATGATCAATTTGAGGAGCATCATCATGAGCATCATCGTTTGAGATAATAGTGTCAATTGAAGTAATGTCATTACCGTTTGTAGTGGATTTTTGCTGGAAAAATGAATTCTGAACTATCATTGACGATGATTGTGATGTTTGAAGAGTACCAACAATATTGGCATTATTCCTGTCTTTGATACTTGCCATTTCTTCATTTGCATGACTAACAGTAGTAGTTTGATCATTTTGTGATTGCAAATCGGACTGTATCGATAATTGATGCAACAAAGTTTGATCAGATGATAAAATTACTACCGTATTTTGCTCATTTAATTTTGAAGTTGAAGTTGAAGCATGAGGAATAATTGATGTAAATGATAAAGATGAATCATTCCCAGTAGGCTTTTCTGCTTTTAGTATTGTCGATGTTTGATGAATAATCTTTTTGCGCTTCTTATTTACGGTAGCAATTTCTTCAATTTCAGGAGCTGATGTCACAGATATATTCAAAGGCAACGTATTACTTTGATTGTCAACAGTAGTCAGTGTTTTCGGAGTGATTACACGTAACATAATCTGAGCATTGAAATTTTCATCCATTGTTCGGGTAGTAAAGTCAGATTTTATGGGATCTATTGTTTGTGATACTGTAATATTTGTGTTTTTAGTTCTGCTATTTCCCTGATTATCCGAGATTTTCCCATCAGATTCTTCCTTTAATCCTTCAAAATCATGTGATACAATAGGATTATTTGCTGAAAATAGATTACGATGATGATCTTCAGTATTTCTAGCATGATTAGTGACAGTATCTGCTTGCATGGTTCCATTAAAAACTAATGTAGTTTCCGTTTTCGGTTGTAAATGTATTTCATGCAAATTTCTCATTGTTGAACTTCCCAATTTAAACTCTTCGTCTACTACTATATCATCTGTTAATGATAGAGAATCATCTGAATATAAATCATTATGTATTTCATTAGCATCATTTGCTAAATCATTCAATGAAGTAGTTTTATCATCGATGCTGAAAACAATGTTTGACGAATCCGATGCTTCTGATCCATTCGCTTCCATATAACCTACTTCATCTAGAAGCAAATACTTGTAAATATTGCTTGTTTTATTAAAATGCGATAAGAATTTTGCATTAATTAGTGGTGGTCGTACTGTAATATTGAAAACAGCCATTGGTACTTTTGCTGTTGAATTAGTAAGTTTGGTTTCATAGCTTACAACTGTTGTAATACCTTCAACTCTTTTTGCTTCATCACTTGCGACATTAGGTGTAATCGTTGAAGTTTCAATAAATGTAAGCGAATTTTCCATGCTTGAATTTGATATCATGAAATTTCCGGTTGTCTGACGATTGGAATCAAAAATTCCTTGGTTAAGTGTCTGTGGTTCAATCATGAAACTCTTTGCAGTAATGACTTCGATTTTTCATTGATATTTACAGTAAATGAAGTTGTAGAAGATATATCGGATGATTTGCTACTACTGATTAATTCATGATTTCCATCTGAGATGAAGTTAACAACCATGGTTTCATCTGATGAACCCATTTTTGGAATCGTTGATAATCTAGAATCCTCAGAAAGATTACTTGTAACCTTTGACGAACCTGTTACTTTCATTATCCCTGATGATTCAATAAACGATGATGAACCATTTGAAGTAACAAATAATTCCTGAGAATTATCCGTTGTCAACGTTTTACTTGTTGTCACCGACACTTCTCCATCATTTGATGACAGGGAAGTGCTAGTTAGTGTTCCTGACATATCTATTCCGTTTTGGTAGGGATATTTGTTAAGGTTGGTAAGAATTCGGTGATAAAAAATGAATGGTTTCTTCCTGATTGTTCCATATTCTTATCATTGGTATTAGAATATATCTCTTTTTGAATAAAACCATTTGAAATTGATGAATTTTTCGAAATAATCTGAGGTATTATACTGTTTTCCGTATTCGTTACAACCGGAATAACCGTAGTATAGTCGCCTGCGTTGGAAATCATCGTTTCCATTGGTTCAGTAACGGTTCTTCCTTTTAATTCCGCTTCATTTTCTTTTATTCGAATAATTTCCGAATTTGTTTTAGCAAACGATAGATCCGGTTTTTCCGTCATCTTCGTAAATCCATCTTTCGTATTTAGGAGAAATGAGTTGGAAATTTTTCGTGAATAGACGAGATCATCGAGATTTGTCGAGGTAGATGCTGGGATTAAATCCTCTAAGGAATGAGTAAAATCATTGGTATTTGATGGCAAAATTACTGAAGTAGTATTTGACTGTATTAAAGTTTCTAAATATGCTGCAGTCTTTCTTCCCACAAATTCCGTGATACTTGAAATGTTTTTATCCATATCCTTTGACAATGGTTCATCAGTAACTGTCGCCTCATCCATTGTTGGTTCCTTTGAAGTTTCCACCAAAAATTTCTCACCATCTTTAGTGGAAGTGTAAATGCCACCAAATGTGACATTACTTGACCTTTCTGATGATGGATGAGAAGCTGTATTAGTTGAAAGCGATAGTGATGACAGGGACGATGGCATTATCGTTTTCGTTGTATCTGATGTTGCATGTAGAATCATAGTAGAATTTTCAGAATTATAAATTTGTGAATTCATGTCAGAAATTGTTCTAAAATCAATCGTTGCTTCCGCTTCAAAAGTTTCCAATGTTATTTTTGTGGAAGGTAAATCAGTAAACAATTTTTCGGATAATTGATTGATTTTAGTTTGTTCAATTCTATCATTCATTTCAAACTTTGATAATACTTCGATAGTTGTCATATGAGAATTTGTATTACTAGCAGATTGTTGTAATCTTGTTGATTCCTCGGTTAATGTATGATATTCATTTGTAGAATCCTCATTACTACTTCCAATACTTGTAATTTCATCAACAGTGTTACTAGCAAATAGTACAGTTTGTTCTGTTGGAATAGAATTAAATTGTATTAATGTATCCGTTGATTCGACCATTTTTTAGTATCATTTTCACCAAAATCATCACTAATTCCAGTCCATAAAAATGGTAAAGTGGATGTTATTGATTCAGTACTCGTATGAATACCAATTTCATCGTTGTTCTACAAAAGAAATAAAAAAAAAAAAGAAAAAAGAAAATAGAACATATTAAAATATCAAATTTCACTACAAAATAGAATATATTAAAATATCAAATTTCACTGCAAATGAAAGACAAAATAAATTATGCAATTTTAAAGTTTCTAAAATTAAAATTTTGAATTTTAATTTCAATTTTTTTTGATAATATTAAACATCAAAAAAAAAAAACAACATACTTTTTCTTCGTCAGTAATTGACATTACAACAGTCTTTTCTGCTGTATACGGTATCACAAACTGCTGTGAATTTGTTACTGTTGTTGTAATGATTGTATTTGCACTCAACTCATTATCATTTCTGTAGTAAGAAACTGGAAAAAAGTGAGTTTTAAAAAAATGAAATTTTTTTTTTCTGATATGAATGAAAATTGTTTCATTTAATTTTAACAATTTCATTTATTATGCAATAATATGATATTGTAATAGAAAAATATTAGTGATAATAATTAAATACAATCAAAAAACAATGAAATATTTGCGGTAAAAAAAACTTCAAAAAACTTCGACTTCATAATTTAAAATAAATAAATTGTGTTTAAAAACAACACGATATGCTTCATCCTTTCCTTCCCCTTATTCCTGAATGATCAATAAATGATAAGCTTCATCCTTTCCTTCCCCTTATTCCTGAATGATCAATAAATGATAAGCTTCATCCTTTCTTCCCCTTATTCTGAATGATCAATAAATGATA